CTGTTGCTGTATGGCTAAGATCAGATGCAGTAAGATAGATTACTATAAATGACCCATTTGAATCAATTTGATATTTCGTAATCGCCAAATAAACTGAGTTAGTAACATGGTAAACCTATCAATCTATATATTACATCCATAACAGACCCATGTATCAAAAGAACAAATTAGAAGGTGGATAGGTTTAATATACACATAAAAACAAGTCGTGTACTAAACATATAACACGCTTATTTCGATCAATACAACTGAGTATCCTTGCTTCGACAAAACAGTAAGAGGTAACTTGCCTGAACCGTGTATTGTATCTGCACAACACATTTCTAGCTATCTGATCACACAAGTACTTGTCATTAGCATTTATATGAAAATTCATGAAGATAAGGGTGAGGAAATGAAAAAGGGTCAAATAAGAAGGCTGAATTCAAGGCCGAATAATAGTGAAAATCAACATCGAACTTGGTTTTCTTAGTTGAATTCACAATCCAACGTGGTAATAAATTGTTTTGAACACACAGCGGTGGTTTGGACCTCCTAGTAGCTAAGGCCTCAACCTATGAAATACAGTGTATAACTTATGGTGAAAAGCAAGACGTATAACGAAGCAGACCCACAAGCACCTATTGTGGTCATCACTTTAGAATAGTTTTCATCGTGGAATGACTAAAATCAGTTGGAGAACCACCGGAAAGCTGAAAGCACTGGAAAGTTGTACGGTTCTAGCTTGGGAGTGTTGTGCAGTGCAAACCTATGACCCCATGAAGGATCGAGCCAAAGATTTTCAGTTCTCATGCAGAGCGCTTTAACATTCCTTCATTAGGTTGAATTTCAATGGTCCACTAATTCCTACTTCTCAATTTGGTATTCATCATGCACTGACACCAGTTGGAGAACCATTGGAAACCCAAGCGATGAGCAGCTGTTTCGTCCTTGTGAAAGACTCCTCAGGAGCGCGCACTCATGACAGCGTCAGAGATAGAACCCACGACCTACAGGTTTCGTGGCAACCATATTACGTTGACCCCTGGGTCGGAATTTAATGTTCCATATTTTCCCGCTCTCGTTAATTTATAGTATAGCATGAACTTCATCTAATGACATCGTTCAATATTTATCATCACGCCCAACCTGATTTGCCTCACCGATCACGACTTCTCATTAGGATTTCGGGAAATTTCAACACAAAGCATGTCACCGATAGTAAACTCGGTCTCGGACGAGCGAAACGGCCGTACAGTATTTAGACCAGTCTGATCTGGCTGCAGAAATCTACAGATCAGTCTGAGTGGATCCTAACTACTCAAGTTGTACAGTAGTAGTATCTTTCACCAGTTCATTATACTTTTGTGTCAGAGATCACACCTTTTGATCTCGGCTGAGTGGTTTCCAGTGGAAAATTTGTTGACACTATAGTTGGGCAGTTGAAAACTACTCAGCTGAGAGAAATGTCATTTTTTAATTATTTTCAAATTGATCATCCTATTTTAGTTCAATTCATTTGTAATTTAGAGAGTTATGAAGTGGAAATATTTTGGATTATTAAATAAAACAGAAACAAGGTGGGGGTGCTTAAGTACTGCAGAAGGTCTACACACTGAAAGCGATAAACAGACTTCAGGATTTCTCATCTTATGTCGGTTAAGTTCAGTTTGATGAAAAATCTGTGACAAGAATTAAGGTATACAAAATTAACCTGATGACTAGACAAAAAAAGTTCATTCAGAAACTAGGAGAAACAGATAATTTATGCAGACAGATTTGCATGAAAATAATGGCAACACTAAGAAAAGGGAACTCAAAACTTCCTGTAACCGTACAAGGAAGGAACTTCAGAAATTTGAAGTGGGAATATCAACAGGAGTGAGATTAGGATGATATTTAAACATACAAGCTGAATAGAAAACTAGCTTCGTAAGCTGAAGGTTCGTATAGAGGCTATTCGACAAACTAATTTTTGTTTACCAAACTCTGCGAAGGGGTTGTGAGGTCCAATACGTGGGTCAAGGTCAGTTAAACTAACAGAGCATAAAATCTTGACCACGACAAAAAATCTAGATAATCAGCTACAGTAATGTATAATCGCAAAATAGGATGAGATGAAGTGACAATCCCAAAAAACGACTTAGCAGAGTGAACTGAGAGTTTGATTACCGATAATTGGCTTATCGAATCAGTACTGAGTACATGCAATAGGAATGACTCAACACATGTTCCAGATGTTTAAAAACAAAAATAAGACAGACCTATCGAAATAGAGTGTGAATGTTGTGGAGTCACATTTGATATGAACGGTCATTCAGTACGTAACACACTGTCTCGATGTCTAAAATAGTCAACGAACGAATTAATATAGAATCGCATACAGCCAATGGCTAAGTCCCACTTTTATGTTAAGAATCTGGTGTTTCCAAAGTATTTTATTTAGTAACTGAATGTGATCGATATTGATTTTACACGAAAGATTGGTGGAAAAAAACAGTTGTTCTAAAGGAGGGCTAAATATCAGTCACGAGATCTACTCGCATCTCTGATTCCTGTTCTCAAATGATCTTGGATATACAGCATACTGAAGTGAATGATATAATGGAGGTCCAGTAAAGTTTTTCGATAAATCAAAGTATTTCTTTTCATAAAGTCATTGTTGCATACAACTATTCTGTTTCTTTCCGAATAGTTGAGAAGAGCTCATCGTTCGAGAGGTGTAGGCAGAAATGAATCCTAATCTCTAAAAAAATTCATCTTTTCAACTTAATCCCTTCCAGTTTGTAACATAAAAACTTATTTGGATAATTTTTCTTGTTTCTGATAGCAGTTTTTTCTGGATATAATCACATCTTAATCGCTATGAAGATATTTAAGTTTCCTGTTATGTTCTGCAGTGTTCGATTTTACATTCGGAGAAAGAAGGAAATGTTTCGTAATATGAACAAAGACAATGAACTACACCTATTGTGTTATGCCTAGTGATACTACCTGACTTCCCAAACCTCGGTAGGTGGAGCGAGGTTCGAACCAGTGAACCACTGGTTGATAGTCATCTCCTTGAACCATTCAGCCACGGCTCTACATCTGTGATGCCAATGGTCTTGGGTTCGAACCAATCAGTTTTGTCACTATTAGCTTTCATTAAAATAGTAAAGGGTATGTACTCAAAATGGGTTTATTTATTGACTCGAGTTACTTACTTGTTTGAAATGCAAAACTCAAAGCTGAAGAACAGTGTTTTTGTACGTGGTTGGGCATATGGGATGCAAACGATGTAAAATTGACTACCTCAGGAATCTTCATCCAATCATTCTTGGATACTACACCTCAATACGTCACCAACAGTGGCATTTAAAGATAGAGGTGGAAAATCATCTTTTAGACTGGCTGGAATAAAAGACAAAATGCAAAAATTAGACGTAGTCCCCAACAACTGATCTCGATTTCTCTAGTTTGCAGGAACGAATAAAATTCTTATGATAATCATGCAGGCATATGATTCGAAACTGTCTAACTCGTAGGTCCAACTAAGTAGGTAGACAAACAAGACTTTACGCTACATCGGGTCCTCTTTGTCTTTGACGTACAGAGGATAGTCGGTTTGCTGGTTTACATTTAGGAAACAGTCACAAGTAATGATTAGACAAAAGACGATATGACAAAGAATCGATAGCAGTGGTGGAGATGTATCCACAACCTATCTCCACCCAAATAATCAGTATCTTATCACCGTAGAACTCTATCTAATCTTTTCATCATCTTGTATTTAGCCTTCCAGCTTATCTTTTAAGGCCGCTGGTATATTGTTTTTCGTCTATTCCCTCCTAGTGAAACTCACTTTGATGTGTTGATGAGAGGTACGGCAACTGGGATTAGCAGACAATCATACCAGATTATCTGTTATCTATGTCTCAACTAAATACCTTCCGTTTTTATGGAATTTTAACAATCAATTGTTCGCTATTTGGTTAATTCAAAGAAATTGAATTAGGTGGTTGTCTGTGTACGAAATATGTATTGCAAGGAACGAAGTGGATATCTGATGTTTGCCACAAAAATAAAAAGCAGGTATTTTCCAACTTTCACTCGACTCGTTAACTTCAAGAAGCTTGATCTTAGGACAACAGAATGAAAACTCATTCATCAAAATAAAGGTTAATGGTCGTATAAATATGTGTGCCAAACTTGGGCATTGTGGTAGAATGTAATTTCATATTAGATTTATTTATTTTATTTATAACACGCAGTGATACAGTATTATTTACCGGATGACGTTTCGAGCATAAATTATTGCTCATAATCACATCAAATAAACAAATCTAATGTGGAGCTAGTGGTTGTAATTTATTCTTTTAAAGGAGCGATCTGCACAACGCTAGGCAAAACTCCCACCTTTAACGTTGGTAACCGTTTAATTGAACCCGCGTGACGAGATCTACAGCCAGAAATTAATCAGATCACTAATTAATTTAGCCTTAATCCGGATAGAAAAGTCACCAACAGAATCATTATTGCAATTATTGTGAATATTTCATAGGATGGAATAGATTAAGAAAGGGAAGCTTTAATAAATACACCGTTCGAAGAATGGCATCACTCAGCAAAATAAAAACTAAAATTTAACTGAATAGCTCCTCACAAACTAACACACTACCCGCAAACTACGACTGAAGTGTGATGGCCAGTGATCACCCAAACCTTATTAGTTGATTCAGAGTCTAGAAATTTTAATTCCACCCGACGGGTTAACGATTTAAGCCAGTTTCGCCGATTGAGGTTTGGGTAGTCAAGTAGTATCACTATCCCTCACACAGCAGGTGTGACTCATTGTCTAATGTACAGACGTACACAAGGTCGCTGGGTAGAATTTGATTCTAAACATTTGACGTGACAGTCAAACGTTCTAACTACTGAATCATAGCAACACTTTGTCATTATACAACCAGAAAAAATTATTCTATCCTACCTGAATAAGATGACCACGGATTGTAGAATATTAAAATTATAGAAAAATTCGAAATAAGTGTATATTGCATAGACAGAAAAAAGTTGCTTCATCAAATGAAAGTCATAAACAAAAATGAAACAAGGCAAAAATGATATATAGAAACAAGAAATGCATTTTATGTTAAGGTAAAAGGGAATGAGAAAGAATAGTTTATTCAGTATTACTTCATACTTCTTTTTTCGCCATTCTTTTTAATTCTAAAATTTGGAATTAATTAACTAAACTGTATATAAGGACAGTTTCTCTGGACATAAGCGGTACAGAAACGCAATAGGCAGCAGACATGTCTAAATAGTCTGTGAAAGACATGGTTCAATATTGACTTCTATTTTGATGCATATACACGTATAAAAAGGGCAAAGATTAAGAAAATAAATGTATGCATGTGTACAGAAATAAATAAATCAACAAAACAAGATAAAGAAAAGACTATCCACCATTAAGAAGCTGCCACAGAAGACTCAAGTAAAGTCTTATTAGACTGCATGTATAATCGTGAACCAGAAATCCAGTCACGTCCCGGCGAACCATTTTCATAAACAGATTTAGATGTATGATTGAATATTGGAAGAAGTTCATGAGCATCTTCAGATCTTCTTTTTAGGTAAATCAACGCTGATGTACCAACACGTTCAACAGAATACAGGGTCAAATTACCACCTAAATATTTAGCGTATAGCCTGCTTAACGGTAAACCATGTCCTCTACCAGCAATAGGCGAACAAGTACTACGATCTGACTGTACTTCATAAGTCATTCGATCATTTGATGTAACTTGACGCACAGGTCGAATTTCTGAATATCTATCCTCAAGGTCGAATACAGTAGAATGCAGATTTTTGGCATGAAGAGCTGTTGTAAAATTGTATCGGAACGTTCGTTCAACTATATTTAGCGTCATTCCTCCACCAAAATCTGTAATCTTTAAGGGAAAAAATAAGTAGTAAAATATTAAATTTATTAATCTGTTAAAGAATGACTAAACATCGCTCGGTAAATTTAACTGAGACTGTAACAAACAACCACAAGAAGGTCAAAGTGATCCCTCTAGCTTACAACGTTCTGTCGTTAAAGTTCCCTAGAGAAACTAACATAACTTTCCGTCCTTATCTTTTTACAAGGTTATTCAGTAACGCGATAAGTAAGAACTTTCAATAAACATACTGAATATATTTACCATCATATAAAGAGTCAAACAGCTGTAATAAATCAACATTCAGGCCCATTATTTCAATTCTGGAATTCGCATTTTCTTTGAACACACTTGTGACTTTAGGCAGACTACAAATTAGAAATCGCTAACATTTATTTTCTTCAAAACCTTGACACAATAAAATACCTGGATGATGTGAAAGTATGGAAGAAAGTCAAGTGTAAGTATTACGGTGAATAATTATACTACCAGTATAATAATAGTAATAATAATAATAATAACTAGAAAGAAAAGTTCTAATAAGAACAAAGCCATAATATTCCTTTTGACTTCATGTACACTTTAAAAATTTTCTCAGTTAATACGGAGAAAACTAGTGTAACCACCAGTGAATGATTCTGAAAAGTTGGATAACACCTTAAGAAAATTATTCGTATGATAATGTAAGCAGCAGCCAAGGTAGTTGGGATCCACCACTAAAGTAAGTGTTGAAGGGGCTCGAAAATCCACGACCCAATAGTCAGAGTTACAGCACTAATCATTATAATACGAACCAGAAACAAAATGAATTGTATATCAAAACCTGCTTAATTTCTTTTAAAGCTTGAAAGTCTTGACGAACCTCGATTTCTAATTTTGTTCTCCTCCCACACACCTTTTTCTATCTTGACATCAGTCTTTCCTATCCGCTTATCCTTTGTGTACTACTGTAAAGTATGACAACTTGAACTAATGCAGATGTGTGCGAGGTTCTACGTTGCTTTTGTGTTTGTCTGTCTGTTTGTCATACCTTGACATTTCAATCTGAATTCGCTTCCTTGCTAAGCTGATATATCAAGAACCCATACTGGACGACAGCAAGATTTGATAAGATAATTCCAAACTGCATAAAACCAATCGTATCCTAAAAAAGCAACTGAGTTCCCTTCAACTTATCCCATTGACTAGCCCCCTTTAGCCATTTTGAATTATTAAAAAGTATAATTCTTTGAAATATATAACTTGTGATATTTTCCACCCATCAATAATAATAATCGTGAATTGCCAGAGAAATACATTCATCCATAAGTAAAATAACTGAGAAACAGTTTTTAATCCGTTACTTTCAGTTGGTTACTTCTGTGAATGAAGCATTCTTCAACTACATGTGGTGTTTACACTTTACTTTCAACTCATGAGACAGAAAGTAAATATGTATTAGTTATGATTACTGTATGTCTCAGTGATTGGATAATTGAGAATTTATAAGATCTTAGGTAAAGATGAATAGATTTGAAATAAGAATCTTGATATTCTTTAGCGATTTCTCAGGGATGAGTGTGATCGTTAAGAGATATTATTGGTTCTAGTCTTAAGGTATTTCTAACTAATATTCTCTGCCATCTCGGAGTACATATGCCGATGAGTGGATATACTGTTTTGCTGTCTGTGAACAGCTTAAAAGATGCACTACTTCACATCTGAATAAGTTGTTACAAGAAACACGTCTTAAGACGTTAGTTCCGAAACTTTATTGAGTGAATGACTTTCCTTCAAACAACCACTTAAATCACACTCAGATGTGAACAATATTTTAATCGTGTCCATGATGACACTTTAATGACCTCGTGTCACTTATTTTAGATAGTTACTGGAATTTGACGAGCATGCGGTAAGAAGTGGAAGAATATCAAGCAATAATTAAGAAGTATATTTCTGATTAATCCTTCGAGAGGAAGGCTTTAACAAACACTGTCTAAACATTTTGCATCTATGTTTACATTTTAGCAGCTGGAAAACCACACAAGAATTCGCGTAATGCGTTGTACGCTATATCTGCGTTACACTACTCAAATCTTGCTAATGGTCTGAGGCTCAAAACCTGGGCCTTCTGATCAAAAATTGAAGGCGTAAAAAAATAAGCCGTAGCTCAAAAAAGAGCAAATTAATAATTTAGGCTCTTAAAATGAGTGGATAAGCCAGTGGGTGCAATGGAATGGCTCGAATGCCAACTACAAATCAAATCGAAACTCAGAGTTATTCTACCCTCTCCCCCTACATTCGTTAACACAACCGAAATCACATGCTCCTCTGAGAGATCTGGATGAAGCAAATCAAAATATTAAAGAAAAATTATTAGCTTGTAAGTATCATTTCACAAGCACTCGGAAGAAATGCATCGTATTAAAAGGCACTATGGAGAGAAACAGACAGACAAAATCAGCGTACAACATCACAGACAACTGCATCGGTTCAGATTGTAACACTTTATAGTAGTATACAAAAAACAAGTGGATAGGAAAGGCTGATATCAAAGTAGACAAAGGTGTGTGGGGGAGAACCAATTCAAAAATTAAAGTCAGTCAAGAAATGCAAGATGTCAGGGAGTGAATGAACCTGCGCCACGGTGACTGATTTTTAGCCATGTCATGAACAGTCCTTAACCACTGATTCATAACGTCCCGGCAACACCAGTCAAGTGGTCTACACCTCCCCTTATGGCCCACACCGATAGCTGAGGCCTTCATGTAGTAATGCCACGTCTTAGATTGGATACCGTAAACCCTCTTTTAACTTAATCCAACTTCTCTTAGCATGGTACATCGAGGTAGGCAGTGGCTCAGCGTGCGCAGTACATGTCCAAGCCACCTCAGTTGCTGAAGGTTCACAACCTCAACAATCGACTTGCCCATCTTGCCCTGTACGCTTCGTCTGACCTCAACGCTGCTCATAAAGGCGATTTCATCGAACGCGAGCAATACTAAAAAGAAATCTGTATTCGGAAACCTGTAACCGTTTCATGTCTTCTTTTTATATCCATGTCTTACAGCCGTATAACAAGACTGAACGGACTGCAGCGCGGTATACTCGTTCTTTGAGAGGTAGTTGGATATCTCGCCAGTTGACCCTATAGATGACACAAGCTGGCGACTGCCAAGTGGGTCTTCTATGTCCGAGCTGAGATTTCACCAGTAACCAACTCGTTCGGGTTCATGGAACTCCCCAAGTAAGTGAAGTGGTCGACACATTCCCCCACTTTACTTCCATATGCTTAAACTAGGAGTAGCTGCAAACCAATCCTGTAGCATCATCTTACAGGTGCTGTTCAAACGCATGCCAAACATACTCAGTTTTCTGCTCAATGACCTAACAGGTAGTAGATCAATCCCTGTGAAGTCGGAGTTATCTATGGTTATGCCCGTTAGTAGATCTATAACGAAATTAAATAGGAACGGTGACAATGGGCATTCCTGGCGGATACCACTAGTTATCGTCAATTCTGATGACAGGTCTCAGTATGCCTTTACGCAGCTGTATGAGTTGGAGTAGAGAGCTTTGATGAGCAGTATATACTTGCTTGGCACTCACTTTATAGTCAGACACTGGAGCGACATCTACATCTCATTCAGGTTCCGACTGGATGCTGAACAAGTGAAGCGTCGTTCTAGAACAGTTGATCTGGTTTTTAAAGTGTTATGCCTGTTTTAGCCATCTGTCCTGAAGGACTATCAGCATCCTATCCTATTAGGTAATGGTCTCTCTAACTATCGTATTCTTCTTGCTAGTACCATAATTAAGCCTAAATAATTCCCGGGTGTCAATTAATGCTGATGTCTTCTCTATCTCTCTTACGTTTACCATCTACCACTGCTCGCGATCATTGCAAAGATGCATAGCCAATTTACGTTTAGGTTTTTTCACTGTTCACTGTGGTTAGAGCGAGCTGGAATCAGTCTTTTTGTATCAACCATTTCAAATCAGGCTATGGGAATCCAATGACCTTTTCTAACCTTCATGTGTTGGTTACCAAATGTCTTCAATACCGTTTCCACAGCGGACCGGACATCACACCAGGTTTCCTCAGATTGGAGATTGCTGCGAATCTCAGAAAAATACTTACCTATCTCCACTCTAAATACTTACATGGTGTTCTCATCTTCCATTCATGCACTCACAGATGACATCTCGAAAACAATTTACTGACCACGGTTATACCATGGTCATTCAATAATTCTGAAGCTTGGTTTAAATGCTTCTAATTTATCCGACTTCTACGTTGTAGAAAAACAGATTTGCCAGGAATTTAAAACAGCTCACTTTGCACAACAACCAAGCACTGACAAGACTGAACTGACTGTCAATCAGGTAATAACAATATAGGGATCTGGTATTATCGCATAACGGATCAAATTGTTATACCTCACACCAAGATATAAGGCAACAACATCAAATGTGGCTCATTCAATTAGGGACTTGCCTATCGACCAATGAGTCTCGTGTTCAGAACCTATTCCACCCAGTTCAGTATGAGCAACCAGGCAGAATCCTAATCCATCACACAATAAGTGTGACTTTTAGCCTAGTAAACGGAAATTTAATGGTTTGAGTTGCACTAAATACCATTTAACAGTGCGTGAGCCACAGAAACAAACAGAATATGACCGAAAGTAAAAAGGTATAAGATGCAGAACAGTCACATTTAATATTGTTGCCTTATATCTTGGTGTGAGGTATAACAATTTGATCCGTTATGCGATAATACCAGATCCCTATATTGTTACTACCTGATTGACAGTCAGTTCAGTCTTGTCAGTGCTTGGTTGTTGTGCAAAGTGAGCTGTTTTAAATTCCTGGCAAATCTGTTTTTCTACAACGTAGAAGTCGGATAAATTAGAAGCATTTAAACCAAGCTTCAGAATCATTGAATGACCATGGTATAACCGTGGTCAGTAAATTGTTTTCGAGATGTCATCTGTGAGTGCATGAATGGAAGATGAGAACACCATGTAAGTATTTAGAGTGGAGATAGGTAAGTATTTTTCTGAGATTCGCAGCAATCTCCATTCTGATCGATCAATCAGTAATGCCAGATCCCATGTTGACTAACTAACGAATATCTACCTGTTCAAATGTAAGCAGATAATTAGGTTGAATTCCGCAATACCACTTATGAGCATTATGCCACAGCTGTTCATTCAATTACGTTTAATTTCTACAATAAAGTGTTAATCTAGTATGACATTGGATTTAATGGATGACAAATACCAATAAGAAGTTTTAAAGTGGAAAGCATGTACAGGCATTGCTTATCAAAATATGCTACCTGGCATACAGATATTAGACAGAAGTGGTTTACATTTTGAACTTGTTATCAGAATTCATCAGAAAGCCCTATAAAATTAGGATGAACTGCTCACCTTGATAATAATATCTTCAGGTGCATTGCATATAAGGATCTTTAATCTTGGTAAATGAGCGTCAAAAGAATAGTTCTCAACAACAGCTCTCATTGAATTTTTCAACAGTTCATACAAAATGTAAAATAAATGACCTGGTATATAACAAAATGTTACATCTTGGCCCTTGACAGATACATCTGTACAGTTCGGTTGATTCTCCAAAAGATATGATTTGGTCGATGGATGACCAGTTGCATCAACACGAAAATCAATTTCGTTAAAACCACCAATTGTAAAACCTTTATCTACACAATCGTGAATTTCGATATCGCACCCAGGTGCACGACCATACACCTGCATACATAACAATCTGGAGTAACTATATGCATTAATTGCAATCTGAACTGGACTACAGGCTGGATCGATATTCCCCACATGAGATTGTTTATTGCAGAGTGTAGGTCCGTATAGAAGAACTGTAATGGTTAAATTATGTCAGGATTAAGCATATATAGTGTTCATTTGTAAAAAAGGACCAGGGACAAAACTAAAAACCTAGCATAATTCCATCCTTTTTCATCACTTATGCACAGAACATATAAATAGACAGAGTGTATTCTTAAACCACTTTCAGTGAATTTAGCCAAAATTATACACACCAAAACTGGCTAATTAGAGACCACATGATTCAAAAACATCGGTTCAGTGTCGTAATTTATTTCACTTTCTGATAAGTGTTAAGTAAACGAAAAATTGAGAAGGGCACCAAAACTCCGCAGACATATAAGATAACGTACAGCCTTACACAGTTCACCTCTTGATGACAACTGCACGAAACGGAAGTCCGTCTGCAACTTCATAGTAGTTTACCCGTTTCGTAGAAAAAGTTATTCAAAACTGAAATGCAACGCATCATCCACTTGCAAGTGTTTAAGCGTCGAGTTATGAGCTCATGATATACTCTAAATGACTATGAAAACCACGATAGATGATGAAGTATGAACTTGCGTTTTGACAGTTATAAATAGACTGGCTATATCAATCAAATAATATGGCTCTACACAAAAGATGAGGGTTTCTAATCTTAAACTAATTTCAAGTTGGAATGTTAGGCCTGAGTACCAAGATGGAGATAGATAAGGCTAATCCTAATTTTTAACTCATCGGTGTAAAATCTTAAGGCCGATGAATAAAAATGGTTAAAAAAAATTACAGCCATTGTATATCTGAATATCAAGAGTAATTAAGAGAAACCATCTGAAATCTCAACCTACATCTGTTGACAGTTGATAAACAACAGCGTAATCTATTGCTTAGTACTATGTGCATTTGAAACAGAAAGGTACAACTTCCATTCAACAGACATAACTCAAGTAGTAACAGGTACATGAAACATTTGATTATTCCAATTTTCCTATACATTTACAGGTAACTATGAGATAAAAAGTACTGGTGAATATACAGGAAACTTCATCACCGAGCCTTGCCTGAAACTAATTTGCTTTGCTGTGAGATTCACCGAATATATATATATATATATATATATATATATATATATATATATATATATATATTCTGTGAATCTCACAGCAAAGCAAATAATTAGTTCGTCAAAAGAAAACTTCTCTCTTATAAAATGAGATTATCAGTGATTTAGACCAGTTCGGCGGAACTACTTCTAATCCCCATACGCTAGCCAATACCTATGCTAATCTACTTGGTAATTTTCTGCCTGCATTCATGAAAGCTTTTGATGAAAAATTACCAGGCCCCACTGCTTTGGATCATTTCACACTTGAAGCAGCCTTCATGACTTCGAGGAGAGTTGAAGGACCGACATCATTCCCCATTCGGGTTTAAACTGAGTGCTGGACAATTAAAGTGCGGTTGCAGGTTAGTTGGACTGTCTTTCGAAGTGTCTCCACCAACGTGCAAGTAACCTGTCTTCAGGTTATCATGCACCTTCCTTTCGGTGATCTCACTGACCATCATCTTTTTCTTATCAGTAACCTTAATGAACCTAGATAGTTGACGAGTATTACCTCACGTTGCTCCCTCTCCAATCTCGCTCTAACCATACACCACAGCTCATCACTGTGAAGACTCTAAGTCAATTTACGTTTAAGTTGCTTTTGCTTTTAATTTTAGTGATCACCAGTTGCAGTGAGTCTTCTCGCATCAAACAGTTCAGATAACGTTTCAGAAATCCACTGGCTTTTCCTAACCTTTGGGTGCAGGTTACCAACTGTCTTCACCGCTATTTCTACAGCAGACTGAATTTTACGCCAGACTTTACTAGGAAGAGAACTGTTGCTGTGTTCATATAGATGCTTAGCTACCTCATCCCTAAATACACAATGACCTTTTCACCTGATGGGTTGAGCGAACTCTCTGCACTACCAAAGGTTCCATAACCGAACAACAACGAAGTATCAGGTGACTTGTCTACGTCATGACGTCTGCCAAGGATGTTCAAGCTATTTTTGTTCCATCTTACTATAGAAACGCTTATGGAGCTCTTGTTTCCTTTGTTTAACTTTAGAGGGATTACCATACGAGAATCCTAGTAAATCTACGGTACACATTCCTTCTGATAGGATAGTCTAATGAAAACTTCAGAATGTTTGGAACACGTTTCGCATCACCCAATCGAAACTTTTACTTCAGGAATGATTCGCATTTGTACCTCGTTTAATATTAGATAGTGAAGTAGTTGAGTGCGTTAGCCACTTCATCTACCTGGGAATTCGGATCAGCCCCGGTCGGTGAGTGATCGATGAAATATTAGCACGGATGCAAAGGGCTTTCTTAGTCCTCTCCATCTCACACCACATATGGCACCGCCGTGATACCCGACTGCTTAGTAATGGTCGATTGTACCTGGATGATCCTGGCTCTGTTCTACCACGCGATGGTGAAACACGGTCACTAAAGGTAGACATGAGGCTTGAGGTGATCGACGACCGTCGCTTTTGTGGCATAGGCTATGTCGTGACGCCACTACGTACGCGAGTTCAAAGTCAGGTGTGGAGTATGGGAAGGAGAGGAAAGTCAGTTGATGAAACTATGAACCTGCATGAACTAGTGAATTTGAATACACTCTTCCTTAATTCTTTAACTTTCTTATTGTCTTTTACTTTTATGTGCTGGTGCAAAGTATGGCAAGTTGGACCATTGCACAGTAACACCAGGTCCCAAGTTGATACTGATTGATTAGTCGATTCATAAGCTGTGGAAGCAGAACCCCCCCCCAAATTACCTTTATGAACTTTCTACACTCATCACCTATCAAAGACTATATTTATAATTCAAATTTGGAACATCAAAATTGATGTGATGAGCTAACAGGAAAAAAACGGCTTAAATGTCTAGTTTTATTTTTTTTGGTAACTAACATCTTATACCTACTTCAAATGTTTAGATTTCACTGAGTACTAAACAACACCAAAGCTGTGAAACTGTGAAGGATGGCAATTATAGCTATCTGCACAACAAACTTAGTCAGTATTAAATTCACTTTCAATATCAAACAGATGAGTTTAAGTCCGCAAAAATACACATACATACTGCATTTCTCACACATATTTCATCTAATATTGAATATGTCATACTTTCAAATGAAACAAATTAAGTTCATTCTATAATTCATGAAAACAGCAGTTTCGATAAGAATGTAAGTGATTAAATTTCATGTGACATGATCTGGATTAATGAGTGGCTTGAACGGACCTAAATGCACCGATGTCATCATCATTATCAACATAGGACCAGGCATTACTGCGAAACGGTCCGATGTACGGTATTCCGATAATTCAACATTGCTACGACAACAAATATTAAAGAACTATCCACCCAGTTATTTGAAAACCCCCTGAAAAGTACTTTAAGATATGGTGTGATAACAAAATATGAAAAATACCCAATTGTTAGAAAATCGTGTTTTTATAAGACCCTCTGCTTAATCGTAAGCACATGGATCAACAATTAACGTCTAACCGGTCGTTTTGATTGCGATTGATGTAACCAAGATTGAACAGAACAAAAAACACTAAGAGGGCATTTTTGGTATCGAAAACCTTCCGGAAAAACAGATTTTAACTTTATGATGCCAACAGTGAATACTTAGTTACAGCCACGCAGTCAAGTTCCCAGGCATTTAATGATATAACTCCAAAAAAAGACGGCTACTCACATTAGTTACCTCATCGTAATCACCGACTAAGATCGATTATAAATTTCTGCACAAAGGAAATCAGTTTACTAGTGTTGGTCACCGTGTTATGCAACGTAATAAAAGATTAAAACACTAATGTTTGCACCGAAAATCTCCAAAGCCCTTTACTGACCTATGACATTGGGTACTTGGAATGCATTTTCTGCCCAAAATGCCGATATGTGCCAAGGTTGATGTCTGGGATGAAAATCGTTTCTACATCTTTAAATACACCACCATGAAATCTACTCATGACCCCACAATTCGAAACCTAGCTCGATATACTGTAAGAAAGCACCATATTGACCGGACTTCGTCGGTCATACTTTTCTCAGTGTGACGCTGTAGTGCATAAAAATGTAAATAAAATAAAAGCGAAAGACTAAACTTACGGTGCTGGTTCAATAATGTTCGTATACCGATTCTACTCACATAAAAACGATCCAGAAAATATTGCAGTTGTAGTTCTTGATCCTCACACCACGATCTACTATTCTGGATTTCTTTGACGCCCTACACTGTGATATAAAAAGGTATCATCCTACCACTGCCAAAATTTCAACGATTCTTGAATGTTTCTGTAAAATGTTATCAACGTCATCTGTGAATTCAGAAACAACAGATGGTGCCCTTGGTGAACATTCCTCATATTTCATCAGAGTATCAAACGTCTCTTCGTATCTATTAAAATGTTAAACAAAACATACTACTCACAATGAACATATTTGTTGCACAGCTCTTGATTCTCTCAGCACAGAGGGTAGAAGGCGAAACTCCTGCATGATGTTAGCAAAACGCACTGGAAGTTCATATTTTAGGAACTCAAATGACTTTGAAGCTGGAGCAGTTTCACCTACAGAAGAAACTACCATACGACAGGCTCATAGAAACTTACCAAAAACTATAAGGTTCTTCAAGCTTAACGCGACAGGAATGAATTTGCTATAGTGCTCTATTTTTCGACCCGATTTTCCGATGAATTCGCAAAATCTTTCAATCCCCATTGACCGATCAGATTGCGAATAATAGACCTAATGTAACAACTTGTGAAAACTTCGTAACACTTCGAATACTTAGCTTCAAATTGTGGATGTAAAAAACAATGCAGCTTCAATTTTCACTGGTATGAAAGCACATTGAAAATCTGTAAACAGTTTCTGTCGAAAAATTCCACCAGCTGTTTTTTGACGATGGCGTCTGATCAATTTTTCACAGCCTACAGATTATTGTTAAGGCGACTAGGGTATACTTCGAATGCTCTAATCAAAATAAAATTGCCATTCGCTAAAACGGGTTACACAAAAACTAAAAGCTAATTATCAACCGTACACAACTTGCAACATCTTTCAAAGTATATTCTGCAGACCAATGTCCACCCTAAATGCTCATCACCTACAAACTTTGCCTAACACCATCACGTAAACCACACGACATCAAGGCTGCGAGCAACTGAAAGTCACATATTTAGAATCCATGGGGATTTGTAAAAAGAATCAAAGTTCTTCTCTTTGCAGCGTCAACATAGACGCCCATTTTTCACCGAAGTTCATTATACCAGCTTGTGTGAACCGGTTGATCATCTTGTACTCAACTCTAAGTCCTTCGGAACAGTTCCGGTTTTTTGGTGGATTCCGATGCAGCAGTTCTGGTAAACCCAGTAGATGGTTGGGTGTTGGCTAACTTTGTGAGGGTTATATGATTTGTTCAAGGACTGTGGTGCAGATGGTCTTCTCAAATGCAGTGTCGCGAGACAACTGTTCGGACTGGTTGTGGAAGGGATGAAAAGATCACTAGCGACAACAAAGGAGAGGAAGTGGAAAAGGTAATTTGAAAAAAGGCAGAACGCATGGATAGAGGAGACCTGGGTGGACCCGAGGGAGACGGGAAAGAGAACTGTGATAGGGAGAACCTCAATAAATAGAATGGAATCGCAAGGTAAGATGGGGAGGAAGATGCGGATACGATTGTGGGAGGAATAATGGGAATAGGAGTGACAATATTACTAATTGGTATGTGGTAACTGAAGGTAGGATATCTAGCTGGGAAGTATAAGGCTGATTTGATTACTTGATAATAGGAGTAGTACAAAGGAGTCAGTATGGAGGTGACTGAATTCCAGTGGTCGCAAACTCGGAGGAAGAAAAGGTGTGAACGGACACAGGTCTTCGCCCACTGATGGGAAATTCCACTTGAGTTTCCGAGAGGATTGCCACAATGACCGTCCGATAGGATTCCACTGCTCGGGCAGCTCGGATTCAGTATCCTGTAAGCCATTATCAGGTCGCGACGTAACCAGCGGTAACCAAGAGAGTAAAGGTCTAGGTCCTCCAGCCTCCATTCATATGGTTTCTTCGCATTCCCAACACACCCTTCGTCGCCCGCTTGTGAACTCCCTCCACGTGGTCCACATCCCTTTTCAGATGTGGCGGTGCAATAACCTTGCGGACGTATAAGCGAGGTCGTTTGCAGGTCTCGTAGAGCTTCAGAATGAGTTCCGGGTTGGTGACACCTAGTCGTCTGCGCATGTAGTTTGGCACCGAGTTAATCCTGGAAGCATCTCCTGGATAACCAGGACTCCTGTCTAGCCCGTGAGTCAGTATTAGTCCCAGGTCCTTCCGTGTGGTCGTGTGGGAAAGGTACGTAGCACAAAGACAGTAAAATACTTTCTGCAGGTTGAGAGCATAGAGGAACATGATTCGGCATTTATCTAGATTAAATCCTAGTCCGTTAATATTCACCCACAGTCCGAAGTCACCTTTCAGTGCCCTAGATTCTCTTCTGGACGTCACAGTTCTTGACAACTAAACGTTGTCAGAATAAGGTAGGATTGGGGGGCTGAGATACAGTAGGAGGTCGTTCACAGAAAGATAGAAGAGCAGCGGACCCATGACCGCTCTTTGTGATACACCATATTGTGATGTTCTGCAAGCCGGGCAAACCTCGTCGACTTTTGTGCGGAATTCTCTGTCGCCCAAATATTCCTCCAGTCAGGATGGCACCTGATCGCTGACACCCAACGTTGCTATCTTGCGAATGAGGATGGTGCGTGGGACTGAGCCAAATGTCTTGGTAAAGTCCAGGAGAATCACGCGAACAATGACTTGGAGGTCTAAGCATGCTTTACAGTTATCGCCGGCTGCCGGAAGGTCCAAGACGCGGGACCTATCCTTTCGGAAATCGTGTTGAACATCACTCAGTGCTTCCCTTTTGCCTAAGTATTCTTTGGCATGATCGCCCATCAGACTCTCTATAGCTTTCGACGATGCCAGTAGAAGTTTTATAAATCGATGGCACTTTGGGTTCTGACTGTCTCCTCCCTTGGGGATGGGACAGAGAATGTCACGTTTCCACCCTCTTGTGAGCACGTGTTCATCTGGAGAGTATTCCAACAGGTTACGGAGCGGACTATATAGGGCTCTCGCGCACTTTCAACACAGGTGGCCGAATGTCACCGCATCCTGAGGATTTTCCCGTGCTCACCTTGATAGTTTTCCGAGGACCATAGCATGGGCTATCCGTATTCTGTGCGACTCTTCTACATCGGGCAATGTTGCAGGTTGTTCAAGTGGCTGGTAATTTTGGTTGGGTGGCGGGATGTTTATTTGTGTACCGAAGGTGGCACTAAACGTTTTAGCGGCTGCAGTCCACATGTTCTATTCTTTCGCGCTTTTCACAATGAGATAGATTTTCTTGTTTCCATAAATCGATGTAATTTCCCGGGGTTTGCCTCAAGCCTGTAGGTAGGGCTTGCCTAGACGACTGCCCTTCTTCGCGCACTTCTATATTATATCGATTTCTAAGGGCGTGTGTACTTTATTATCTGGCCCCGTCTGGAGATCCACCATGCATGTCATAGTTCCCTCTTGGCTTTAAGGTGCACTTAGTTCCTTGCCTCAGCTATGAGGTCTGGTCTTTCGGTTTTTGCTCCCACCGTTGGCACACTTTTAGACATCACGCTTTGGTGATGTCTCCCACTGGTTTCCAGCGGTGACTGACTGATAAGGCACTCCACTTCTGGAGCCATGGTGCTGTTGATAGACACTGGCTCATCACAAAAACAGGGACTAAATCCCTCACGTGACGGTCGTTCACTGATAAGTGGACTGGGCGCTGACATACAGCGGCCACTGCAGCCAAAAGATATGGCCAGCCTTCATCTTACGGCAAAACAGTGGAAACTATCCAACCGATCTAGTCTTTCTTTATAGCAGAGGGTATAGGGCCTTTGACTATGTATGAAAATATTATCATTATTATGATTACTTTTTTGACAGGGTTCCACATTGCATGTACCATGTGGCAGCAGTTGGACTAAACTCTCTTCTTAAGCTTAGGGTGGGGTTTTAGTGCGATCCCCGTTAGCGTTCGTGTCTATGACCGGTAGTATTGTCCAGTTGGTATGGTTCATTTTATAGATAATCTTGCAGTGTGTTGCAATTTCCACCCTTTTTGTCACCTTTTATGCCGGGTGGTGGTATTCAGTATGTCGAAGAAGTTAGCCTCTGCATTCTTCTCCATGAATAACTTGCTGATTGCGCGGTTGCTGAGGGAACAGCTAGTTTTAATCTTTTCCGATAGTCCAAGAAACACCAAGTTGCGCCTCTTTAGGACGGCTTTCGGGCCATTCTCAGTCGTCCAGGACTATAAGCGCAGTAGGTTGTCTCAAATCATCTTAGAGCTCTCATCCTTGTCTATTTCCCCCTTTTTTTGATGCCATTGGCAGGCTGAAGGGCGGACGAAATATTCAGAGTGAGATAATTTATGGATGAATGAATGCTGGATGATATACTTTTGCCTTTGTGCAGCTCTGAGTCGGCTGAATTCAATTCACTCTGGCGCAGAATTCTCTGTCCGTGCGCGGTGTAAGCCACTCCTACCGTTTTGGTGATGCTCACTTGCTTAAGTTTGGCAGGGATGGTGTTGTATGGGACACTGGAAAACTTTTGTCAGGTCTGGAGAAATAAAAACGCGGGCTGGTTGCTGGCTGGCTCATCTACCGGTACAGTCATTCTAAGTAGCCATCACGTTGAGTGGGACAGACGATGCTTTTTCTGTTTAAGTAGCTCGAACAACACATACAGCTGGCCTCCCCCTCAGAATTTCGGGTGTTACAGGTATTAACGTTACTATTTTGCAGCCACATGGGTTTCTTTGACCTCTTCCACTGAGGGTTGCTTGAAGGGTGGGGCGCCGGCTACGTGTGAAGAACCGACGTTTTTCAAGAGGGCGTGTAGTAATCGCACGCTCTACGGATCTGACGTCCCATGTTTCTTGCCGTCGCGCTGTTAACCGCCAGGCTAACATCCACACCATACACCGATAATAAAAATAAAAGCATCTTGATCCTTGGTTCTAGTGGATATGTGTCTAAAAAAGTGCCACATGACCACGAATTATCTGGGTAACCCAATCTCTCTTTCTCACTCATCTAATCTGCTTAAGGTCGGTGTTGAATCGATCAATATTCCTAACCCTACCTTTTTTATCAGACTGTCCCGTATCAATTCCTTTAAATGTTAGCACAGATCATTTACCCGATGCCTCACAACTTAACCGTAGCCGGCACTCTACGCCTGCTAACGACATTAGTAGGTTGTTCTTTCGAGATATTTGCGGCTGCCTTCAGCTACTGGGTCGTTCATTTCTGCTTGCCTAGTAAGTGCCCTGCCAATCCGCAACAAGATGTCTAGTTTCACATTACCTACGTTGCTATGCTCCCCCTCAATCATTATGACAACTGGGGCATGGAGCGCCTCAGATATTTCTGAATTCAGCTTTCGCCTCGACAACTACATACTTTTTCGTGGTGGCGGGAAAATGGCCGTGGGGGGTGGTTGTCTCGTATGTGTCAGTTCATCCATAGATTCCGTGCAGTGTGACATCCTGTTGCTAAGAATTGCAAAAGATTCTGTCCGGGTCATTCTGAAGCCCGTCAGCTGCCTATACCTGCTTTTCGAGTACGTGTATTGTCCTCCCAATTCCACTTCCGGGTATGACAACAGGTTGCCAGGTGTCTTTAAGTGTATTGCCTCCATACCATTTTCGCGAAAGATTGCATGCAGGGACTTTGGCATGCCAGAAATCTCTTGGCGTCCTACAAAGGCTCCCAAACAATACTAATCTTTCGTCCACCGCCACTGGGTAGGAACGTCAAACTCTAGTTTCTGACAACATGGAGCATCTAACAAAGGTTGTCAAGCCAAGACCGAAATCATCTAAGTCCAAAACGACTAAATGTATTATTAATG